TAATGGCTGCCTGGCATGCAGGATTTGCATTTTCAAAAGCCAATTGTTTTATATAATCAAGATTGGCATCTGCATTGCCTAACAACCTATCTGCTGTTGTCATTAGCCGGTTATCAAAATCCAAAAAAGGCTCTTCAGGCCCTTGTTTTACTCCTGTAAGTGAAGCACTTGAATCCCCGTTAGCTGGGAGCCTTCTCCAAGCCTTTAAAGTGACTGTTTGAATTTGGGAATATAGACCTGGGTCATAGTTTTTTTGTTCCTCAATACTAGAATAGTCACCAGAGCCGGTCAACATATCAAGACCCCAATCTTTATCAGCCTGAAGGTTTTTTTCTAGCAATGTCTTTGCAGTTTTCAAAAAATTCGAACTTCTTGGGGCCGGCCCGGTGGCACACTGCTACAGTGTGCCGCTTGGGAAGCACGGTGGCGCTCCCGCCGAGGGTTCGGATCCCACATACAGACCGGCCACTCACTGGCTGAATGAGGCGCGAGAGCAACACCGAGGGTTGCGATCCGTTGCTGGTCACGAAAAAAAAAGACAAAAAAGGAAAAAAAAATAAAAATAAAAATAATTCGAACTTCCAGAGTAAGTAATCACCCCCCGAGAGTGTGGCTCTGACCAGGGTGTTCCAATCTATAGGAGTGCGCCAGCTTTCAGCCACAGGTTCTAATATAGCAAGGGTATAAGGTGCTGTGGGCCCATATTGGGAAATGGCGCCTTTTAGCTCTTTGATAACATTAAATCCCAGCCTGTCATGTTTGCGGGTAATTTGTCCCATGTTATCCACAGATTCAGATACTGGGAAGATCTCAAGTTGGTCAAAAAGACTTTGATCTACATGAATGGGAGCTCTTTCTGTGGGGGGGGGTTAACTTGTTGTTTAACAGAGGACAATAGCCAGTCGCTTTAGTTTGACATGTTGTATTCTTACGTTTTGTTTGTAATTCTTGCAGTTTTGTCGTTAAGACCTGGAGCTTTTCCTCTAAGAGAATTTGTTTTTCTAATTGTTGAACCTTTGACTCTAAATTTTTTAAAGGATCTGATACCGTCACCACTGTGGGAGTGGAGGGCAAATTGTAAGGGAGAGGGCACGACAAAGGCTGAGCCAAAAATGCATCATCTGACGCATGGTATTCAGCAGCCTCTGTGTCCAGATCGCCCCAATCCACCTTGGAGGGATCAGAATTTAGAGGTTTCTCTTTATTTTGAAGTTTCAATACCGGATATTTTTGGGGCATTTTGGGTTTAACAGTAGGTGTCGCGGACTGTTCCGAATCGTCGTCTAGAGATATGAGATGTATGCTTTCGTCAGGAGGTGGAGAGGAGGCTCGGATGTCTGTTTTGGAACCTGCCTTTAGTATTTGTTCAGTGTGGACCATAGTTTCAGAAACTTTGGGGAATTTATCTTTATCTTGGATCATATTTTTAATTAAATTCCAAAAAGAAAAGGCAGTTACAGGGACTTTTTCTGGACCAAAAGTTTAAAAATAATCTTGCAAGGCATCACCTACTCTAACCCATTTTTTATAATTAATAGTTCCTTCCTCCAGAAACCAGGGACAAAGGTCCTTCACAAAATCAAAGAATTTAAGCAAATCATTTGACTTAACCTTTATTCCTCGCATCTTTAAAGCCTTTTGTAACTGTCTTATGTAGAAGTCATGACAACTTAATTCTTGTCCCATTATTGGGTGCGCTTACTTACCTTATCCTGATGCGGCAGGTTCCCATGGCAGACAAAGGTTTTACTCCTTTGTTTTCAGCGGTCAACCCTCCAATGCACTGTCTTTCTCATGGTATCCCCCGTATCCAGTGCCCCACGTTGGGTGCCAGAAATGTCCCGACCTGTGGGATATTCAACGCAGACCCTGAAGGGGGGAGTGGGAATTGGTGGGAGCAAGAGATGAGAGAAATGGAGACAAGACAGTATTCTGATCAAGTCTCGTTTATTAGCCAGAAGGTCACAGCTTATATAGCCAGCAGGATGGAATCAGCAGATAAGGAAGTATGCAGATGTTTTCTGGGAAAAACCACAGGGCAAATCGTTCCAGGAAATGGAACATTTCTCAGCTATCGAAAGCAATGCAGTGGTGATCTACGCCTAGGGCTATGCAAGCAGCAAGAAGGAGAAAAGGGTGGAAAGGTCACAGCATTTATATCTTTAGTGCCAGAGGGCTATTGGCAGGGCTTCATGACCCTGGGCTGGCTATGACCGGGCTCTTTGGCCCCGGACATTTTTGTGTGTAGACATAATTTTTGAGTCAGTTAGGTACACATTTAAGAGGTTGATTTCTGATTCATATGCTCAAGCTACATTTATATTTGCATAAAATCACCTCCAGTAATGTCTGCAAAGAGAAGACCACTCACCTGGCCTTGTCACCTTACTGGGAGGAAGTCCAGTGCACACAGCTAGATCCATGTGAGGAGAAAAATGGCCCAACTCCCAGCCCCATCTGAGCTCCCAGTCCAGCAACCAGGGCAGCGTCCATACATGTACTGGGCACTGTGGATGTTGGTCCCCAGCCATCCTTTAGCCAGGCTTTCAGGGAAGTTCAGTGGCACCAGGAAGTGCCCAGATCCTACCCAGAATGTGGGTCACTGAGGAGCAGAGGTAGAGAAGGACCAGCAAAGGAGCTTGTAGTCACCACATAGGATTCCCTTCTGTTGCTCAATATCTAATCATTGGGAGGGGACACACCTTCAGAACATGTCATCATGCATGTAACCAGCTTCTCATATGTGGTACCTTCTGAATTCCAACTACCTGTGAAGAGGCTGGGTTATGCATCAAGATTGACATGGTGGGAAAACCACCCACAGTGCAGTGCCCAGGACTCCTGACAACCACTCCAGGGAGCCTTCCAGAATTAGCTTTGTTGATAGCTGAGTCTCTGAGATGTAAGAACATGGGTGTGCATACTGCTGTGCTAGGAATAAAGCAGGAATGCTCAGGAAAGGTGGAGACAGCAATCTTTTCCTTCTAAACATCTGAGCAGGCTTGACTGAGGGCTGCTGCTCACACCCACAGAGCCCAGGAGCCCAGCCCTGCATATGGGGTGAGCCTCCAGATCTTGCTCCCCCTAGAATCCTTTCCTCATCTTACTTTCTTGTTTTCTTCCTTTCCTCAGAGCCATGGTGCAGGGGGAGGTTTTGTACCCATGTCCCTTGACTCTCACAGGAGAACCAGGCTGAGCCAGCTGTGACCTGGAATTGGACCAGTCCCCTCTTCAGAGTAACCAGCTCAGCCAGCCCATGTCTCCTCACACAGACCAAAGTCACTGCTCCCTGTTGTCTTCCTCACTCTGCTGCTGCCAGGGATAGACTAAATTGGGAGGGGAGGACACTAACAGTGTCATAGAGGACCCTGAGCAACACCAGTGCCATCTTCTTATGTGGCTAAACCCCCTCTGCATGAGAAACCATTGACCTTCCCATAGAAACAAAAACCGTTTCATGGAAACAGGAACATACACAGTGAACTATCACATTGGAACAAACCATTACATAGGAACAAGAACCATACACAATGAAAATTTGCATGCTTGGTTGCTCTAATGGCTCACCTTTGGCTGCTGTAAACTAGCTCCCTAGCTTGCTTCATGCCCCTGGACAAACCCATGTGCCAACAGGATGTGGTTTTTGCCTTTAAAACCCCATAAGACCAAGGCTTGAGGCTGTTCTCCCAAAATACCTAGGGGAGGCAGTCGCCGGCTGGTTAATAAAGACTCTGTTAAAATTCCTAATTAGGGCCGGCTCGGTGGCGCACTACTATAGTGCGCTGCTTGGGAAGCGCGGCGGCACTCCCGCCGAGGGTTCGGATCCCACATACAGACCGGTTCCTGCTCACTGGCTGAGCGAGGCGCGGGAGCAACGCCGAGGGCTGCGATCCTGTTGCCGGTCCCGGTCCAGTATGGGGGTGACACTGAGGGTTGCAATCCGTTGCCGGACATGGAAAAAGACAAAAAAAAAAAATCCTAATTAAGTGTTTGCTTCCTTTCCTGAAGGAAGCAACAATCTGCCCTGGGAGAGTCACGCTGAGCTCTATGGGATGATCCTTGAACAGGAACTGAGGCTCACAGCATTGGACAGGAGTGTGGAGTCTGTCTTGATACCAGAAGAGGCCAGGATGCCTGGCTAAGATGCTGTCCTTTGCACTGGGAGTAGGATAAGATCAATAACTTACAGCCTCCGCACTTCTGAGAAGAGACTTTCCGTCACTCAATACACACTCTGCACACATCCTATGGGCAGGGCAATAGCACACCTGTGTTCCTCTAATGTCCAGTGCAGGAGCTACTCACATAGTCACTCAGAGGTGAGGAAACACCTCAGAAGGGTCCACTAGCATGCCCTAGGCTTCAGATCTTCCAATGGCTGACCATGGATGTGGTCCCCAATCTGTGGTCTCTGGACCCCAGAGTCCCTATAACTTGTCCTGCCCAGCATTGTCTCGGATGATGATATTGGGGTGTTAAGATGAAGGAAAGGGAGAGGAATTCAGATAATGAGTGTCTGAGAAAGTGGAGAAAAGATAAATTCAGGCATGTGCCTATTATCAGGGTCTCCTGAGATCAGAGTTTATTTTCACACCACCAAAATCTCTCTCTGAGACTGACACTTCTCTGACCTGTGGTCCCAGGCCTATGAGCTCTCTGTGCAGGGAGGAACACCCCTAGGGAGTGGGTCAGGCTTCCTTATCACAGCACTGGAGACTGAAACTGAGACCCCTGGACCTGCCCTGCTTTAAATCTGGGCCTCTCCCATGCAAATCACCCCTTCATCTCTCAGGTTAAATTGAAGGTCCCTGGACAGCACCTCCACACTTGGGCTATATTCTGCAGGAATCACAGACTTATCTTTTAAAACATGAGATTCTTGTGGATATTCTTCCTAGTGGTGACCTCTCCATGTAAGTGCCTTTAATATCTCAGGAATAGAGTGACAATGTTCAGGTGCCTGATATTCATCAAGATTAATTATTTATTTTTATCCCCAGGTTGCCTGTGCCAAGTGCAGCTGCAGGAGTCAGGCCCAGGGCTGGTGAAGCCCTCGCAGACCCTCTCCCTCTCCTGTTCTGTCTCTGGTTACTCCATCACCAGTGGTAACTGTTGGGGCTGGATCTGCCAGCTCCCAGGAAAGGAGCTGGAGTGGATCGGGTACATATGTTATGATGGGAGCACTTACTACAGCCCATCACTCAAAAGCCGTGTTACCATCACCAGAGACACCTCCAAGAACCAGTATTCCCTGCACCTGAGCTCTGTGACTGCAGAGGACACAGCTGTGTATTACTGTGCCAGACACAGTGAGGGGAAGTAAGAGTGAGCCCAGACACAAACTTCCCTGATGGGGTGTGTGGGACCACCAGGGGGCACTTGGGACACACTGAGCACACAGGCAGCCCAAGAGCAGGTGCAGGTGGAGATTAAGGGCTGGTTTCCTGTCAGGGTCTGTGGATTCCTCTCCATCTAAAAGTTTCTTGGAAAATTATTCTAGATTTATTACTCTGTGCCTACCAGTGGCATCTCTGAATGAGAAGCAGAAAAAACTACATTGTAGCAGAACATGTTCTCATCTGCATGAAAGGCAGACTGTCGCTTAGAAGGGAAAAAAATGACTTGTGGTCAACAGGGCAGAAAACTGAGGAAGCTCCTGGGAACCTGGTGACTTTTTTGTTTTCCAATCAGACTCAGGGCAGAGAACTCAGGGGGTCTCATAATGAGGAAAGTCTTTGGGATTCAAGTTAGAACCAAGTGGGAGTCTACACCTGGGTCAGTGTCCTCTAAAGCCTAACAGGTTTCAAATTGGTCTGTCTTTGTCATGTAAAGCTGTGAACTCCTGACTCAAAACTGGCACAGTTGTCCCTTTTCCTGCTAATCCATTCTCTCACTCTGTAGTCTTTATTCTCAAATCTCCCTTTTATTTTTCTTAGCCCTAAAAATGAAGGACATGGTCTCTGCTCCCTAAATCTCAGGCCTCAGGCCCTTTAACTGAAGCTCAGGTGTGGCTCAGTATGTGGCTCCTAAAGGCCCCTGAGTAAGTCTGAAGGCACTTTCTTGTTCATCATTGCCTGAACTTGTCTGTGTACATGGAATCACTGGGGAAATGCAGTTGGACATTAGTCACAAAGAGGATAATACTGGTTTTGTAAAAATGAGACAGGAGCGTAGAACTGCTATTGTTCTGCACAAAGTATCACAGAGACAGTTTTAGCCAGTGGCTTTTGGGAGAGCTGCTCCTGGCCACCCTGGTGTGCTATGAGCTCTGAATGATTATATCCAGGTCTTTGTGTACCATGTCATTGCGGTTCCAGCATAAAGAAAATAGGCTGAATCCAAACAAATCTTTCAGGAGAATTAATATGAATCCTTTTCAAACTGTTACCAAAAAACTAAAACGAACACAAATCTCTCAAACTCATTCTGTGAGGACAGCATGACCTTGACACCAAAACCAGAGAAAGATACAACAACAACAACAACAAAGAACTGTGGCGAGTATCCTTGATGAACACACATGTAAAAATCCTCAACAAAATATTAGCAAACAGAATACAACAGCACATGAGAAAAGATTATACATCATAGAGTGGGCTTTATCTGAGTTTTATAAGAATGATTTAACATAGTCAAATCTAAAAATGTAATACACCACATCGCCAAAATCAAGGAAAACAAATAAAGTTCTCAATAGGTACAGAAATGCATTTGATAAAATTCAACATCTCTTCATGATAAAGACTCAAGAAGCTTGGTATAGTAGATACATATCTCAACAATATAAAAGCTCATATATGAAAAATTCATGGCCAATATGCTCAGAAGAAGACAAGGATGCCCACTCTCACCAGTGCTATTTTACATGGTATTGGAAGTACTAGCCAGAGCAATCAGGTAATAGAAAGAAATAAAGGACAACCAAATTTGTAAAGATGGAGTCAAATTGTCCCTGTCCCTGCTACAGATAACATAATTCTATATACAGAAAAACCTGAAGGTTCTACCAACAATCTCTAAGAGAAGATAAACAAATTCAGTAAGGTTGAAGGATAGAAAATCAATGTACAGAATTGGTAGCAATTTTATACTCCAACAACAAAATAGGAAAAAAACAAATCAAGAAAGCAAGCCTATACCCAGTAACTACAAAAAAATAAAAATAAAAAATTACCCAAGGAGGACAAATGCCTCTACAATGAGAGAAAATCACCACTGAAAGAAACTAAAGAGGGCAGAAGGCAGGAAGCCCCACTGCAGATGCCAGAGGCCCCAGGCAGGCAGAAAACTCAGATACCCTCTGCCAATTCTGCATCACCCTACCCACCTGGACAGAAGGCCATTACTGGAGGAGGCCTCACACAGCTTCCACAGAGGTGGTCCACAACAGCCACCACCACAGCTTCTACTGCTGCGTGGACTGTGATGGAGTTTGGATGTGTTGTTCCCTCCAAAACTCATGTGGAAATTTGATCTCCAATGCGGCAGTGTTGGAAACTGATTGAGTCATGGGGGTGGATCCCTCATGAATGGATTAATGCTCTCCTTGGAGGAGGGGGAATTAATGAGTGAGATCTCACTCTATTAGTTCCCATGAGAGCTCGTTGTATATAGGACCCTGCCACTTCCTCTCTGTCTCTCTCTGCTTCCACTATCTTGCAATGAGAGACCCCTGGGTCACTGTCACCACCACCAAGACCCTCACCAGCTGTGTTCCCTAGTCTTTGGACCATTCCCAGCCTAAGAAACTGTAAGCAATAAATGTTGTTTTTCTTTATAAATCACACAGTTATAGGCGTACTGTTATAGCAACAAAAATGGACTAATACAGACTGCTTCCTGTCATAGTAACATCTACGATTACCATGCAGGTGATGAACTGCATGGACATTTCACTCCATTAACACAAAGAGAGTGACTTGAGGAGCCTAGAAAAAAGGGGAAGAAGTATGCCCCCTGAGGGTAATAGCAGAAGCAACTGATCTGACAATTGTCCAGAAATCAATGTAGAGATACCAGACATACAACAAAAACCAGAATATATGACAACGCTAAAGGAATTTATTAACTCTCAAGTACCAGACACTACTGAACAAGAAAACTTTTAAAAGACTGAAAAGGAATTCTGAGTAACTATCTTAAGGAAACTCAATGAGATGTCAGGGAACATACTTAAACAATACAATGAAACAACAACAAAAAATATCCAGGTTATGATGGAGAAAATTTAAAAGACATTAATACCTTAAAAAAATAATGTAGCAGAACTCCAGGAACAGAAAGTCACAATCAATGAAATAAAAAACTGAGAACTTAAGCAGGAGATTAGAGCAAACAGAAGAAAGAATTGCCAAGCTAGAAGATGGTCTTTATGTAATAACACAGACAGAAAAAAAGGAAATAAAAGTAATTTTTTTAAAAATGAAGAAAGGCTAAGAGACTAACAGAAAAGGAAATCAAGAAATTAAGCCCATTTTCAATAGTCATCAAAAAATTAAATACCCAGGAATCAATTTAAACAAGGAGGTGAAAGATTTCCACAATGAGAACTGCAAATCACTAATGAAATAAATTAAAGTAGACACAAAAAGATGGAAAGATATTCCATGCTCTTCGATTGGAAGAATCAACATTGTGAAAATGTCCAAACTACCCCCAAACGATCTACAGATTCAATGCAATCGCCATAAAAACACCAATGACATTCTTCACAGAAATAGAAAAAGCAATTCCAACATTCATATGGAACAACAGAAGACCCTGAATAGCAATGCAATCCTGAGCGAGCAAATAAATAAATAAATAAAACTGGAGGCATAACAAAACCTGACTTCAAATTATACTACAAAGCTAAATAAAGTAACCAAGACAGCACGGTACTGGCATAAAAATAGACACTCAGACGAATGGAACAGAATAGAAAACCTAGAAATCAATTCACAGACTTTGCCGCCAACTCATCTTTGACAAAGAAACCAAGAACATACTCTAGGGAAAAGTTTGCCTGTTTGGTGAATGATGCTGGGAAAATTGGACATCCATATACATAAAAGTGAAACTGGACCTGTATTTCTTGCTATATACCAAAATCAACTAAAAATGGATTAATGATTTAAATATAATACCTGAATCTACAAAACTACTAAAGGAAACATAGAGGAAACACTTGAGTAACCAAGACTGGACAAAGACTTTGTAAATAACAGCCCCACAAGTAGCAAAAGAAAAAGTAAATAAATGGCACTATATCAAACTGAAAAGCTTCTGCACTTCAAAGGAAACAATCAACAGAGAGGAATGACAACTAATGGAATGGGAGAAAATATTTGCAAACTGTACATCTTACAAGGGATTAATAACCACAATATAAAAGGAAACAAGGAACTCAAACAATCACACAGTAATGAATAAATAAATAAATAAACAAACAAACAAATAAATAAATAAGTAGATAAATAGATAACTTTTTTAAAAAATGGGCAAAGAAGCATTTATCAAAAGAAGAAATTCAAATGGTTAACAGGTAGTTTAAAAAGTGCTCAACATCACTAATCATTGGAGAAATGCAATTTAAAATCACATTGAAATATCATCTCACTCCAGTTAGATCGGCTATAATCAAAAAGACTGATAATAACAAATGATGATGAGGATGTGGAGTAAGGGGAGCTCTTCTACACTGTCAGTGGGTCTGTAAATTAGTACAACCACTATGGAAAATAGTATGGACATTTCTCAACCAACTACAGATAGATCTGCCATATGGTCAAGCAATCCCACTTCTGCGTATATACCCAAAGGCATGGAAATCATCATGTTGAGGGGATACCTACACTCTTATGTTCAGAACAGAACAGAACACATAGAAATCAATCCACATACTTAAAGCCAACTTATATTCAACAACGGCACTAAGAACATCCATTGGTGTAAAGTCAACCTCTTCCACAAATGGTGCTAGAAAAACTGTACATTCATTGTGGAAGAATGAAACTGGACCCACAGCTCTCACTCTATACCAAAATCAACTCATAATGGATTTAAGTCTTAAATGTAAGACCTTAAACTACAAAATTCCTTGAAGAAAATATAGGGAACACATTTCAGGATGTAGGACTGGGCAAAGTTTTTATGAATAAGGTCTCAAAAGTACTGGTAACCAAATTAAAAATAAACAAATGGGATTATATCAAATTAAAAAGCCTCAGACTTCATGAGTACAACCCCAAAAGCATGGAAAACCAAAGGAAAAATAAACAAATGGGATAATATCAAACTAAGAAGCTTCTGCACAGCAAAAGAAACAATTAACAGATTTAAAAGACAACCAAGAGAGTGGGAGAAAATATTTGCAAAATATGCATTTGACAAAGGATTAATATCCAGAATATACAAGGAACTGATACAACTTTACAAGAAAAAAACAAGCAACCCAATTAAAAAATGGGAAAAAGAGCTAAATATGCATTTCTCAAAGGAAGATATATGAATGGCCAACAGACATATGAAAAAATGCTCAACATCACTCAGCATTCGGGAAATGCAAATCAAAACAACACTGAAGGGCCAATCCCGTGGCTCACTCGGGAGAGTGCAGCACTAGGAGCACAGTGGCACTTCATGGCGGGTTTGGATCCTATATAGGGATGGCCGGTGTGCTCACTGGCTGAGTGCGTTGTGGGCAACACCAAGCCAAGGGTTGCGATCCCCTTACCAGTCTCTCTCTCTCTCTCTCTCTCTCTCACACACACACACACACACACACACACACACTCACACACACACACACAAAACAAAAACAAAAACAAACAAACGAAAAACACCACACTGAAATACCACCTCACCCCAGTTAGGATGGCTAATATCAAAAAGACTATGAATGATAAATGCTGGTGAGGTTGTGGAGAAAAAGGAACTCTCATACACTGTTGGTGGGACTGCAAAATGGTGCAGCCTCTATGGAAAATGGTATGGAGGTTCCTCAAATGATTGCAGATAGATCTACCATATGACCCAGCTATCCCACTGCTGGGAATATACCCAGAGGAATGGAAATCATCAAGTCAAAGGTATATCTGTTCTCCAGTGTTAATCGCAGCACTCTTTACAATAGCTGAGAGTTGCAACCAGCCCAAATGTCCATCATCAGATGAGTGGATATGGAAAATGTGGTATATATACACAATGGAATACTACTCTGCTGTAAAAAAGAATGAAATACTGCCATTTGCAACAACATGGATGAACCTAGAGAGAATTGTATTAAGTGAAA